TATATATATGACACTATATGCTCTCCAGACCAACCATGTTCTTGAACTAAAATTTACAAACATACACTCATCATCACAACTTCACCTTTGACCATTTATTGACACCAATTAGTTAGCGCACACCCTTCAACATACACAAAAGTCCACACTCCATACGAAGCCACTATCACATATACAAATTATCTACTCCATTTCTTTCCTGGGCAAGAAAACTCACAAGGAATAAATAACAAAACTGAAAACATTAAAACAGTTCAAATTATCAAATATCCATCTACTATACTCAAATCATCATCATTCCACATCAAAAATTTCACTAAATGAAGCTAATAATATACCTCAAAAATTCTAGCGAACAGTAAATACAATTGAATGCCAGTTTTCCACCCTTTTCAGATTGATGTAACTTCCATTGCTATCATAAACCTGTTTCCAGTTTTTTACATATTGATCAGGAAACTGTAGAAACTAAATACGACATATGATGAAAAAGGAACACACTTACAACTACATACTCAATGTCAAACACTACAACTAAATTGAGTTTTTAGGAYCCGAAATTGTTGAAGTGTCCTAATAGAGTGCCTTATGGGACCAAGTGTCCTATAAACACAAGGGTCCTATCAAAATATGGGTTTATAGAACATTTCTCGAAAATGTTCTATAAAATTGCTAATATAACACTTTTAGATATAGGGTTTTTTAATTTTTTGGCCCATTTAACGCTTTATACGCCTTATAAGCCCAATGAAATTAAGCCTTTAAGGAAGCGTTCATTGTATAAATTTGTCATTTTTGAACTACGATATAATACTAAGAGAATTGAAGAACTTGCAACACCAAAGGTGACTCACATATGCTCACATAAGAAAAAAAAAATGAAATCTACTTATACCACACTAACCCTTTGCACATCAATGAGATAACCTCCGAAATTTTGGAACTCTTCCTTAATCAACAGATCTATAGCACCTTGATCAAGAATCATGAAAACTTAATATTAGGAACTTGCTGCAATGATTMTGATTTACCACAAACATTAATCGCATCTTCATAGTTTGTAATCAATACAGATTTCTCTGGATGGTGTATAGTAGCTAAAATTAAAGAAAGCATCCAAACCTCGTAAATGTTCAAGGTCGGCATTTGAGGTAGAAAATCATTTCCAGCAAAACTAATCAAAAATCATGAATCTAAACTCTAAAGCTACTCAAAAATCATGAATCTAAAGCTATCTACAACTACTCAAAAATCATGAATCTTGAAAGATACACACCCTCATATGTCGAATATGCCAAAAATGTAGCTTTAGATGCCAAATCTGTTAAAGCCCAAAAACCAACTAAATTAGACAAAAAGAAAACCCACAATACCGGAACCTGGATGAAAACGAACACCAAAAATACCGGAAAGGATTTTGTGTAGCGAGTAGAGAAAGGTCAAGAAATTCAAAATTATCAACCAGATTATATAAACTCACAAAAAACGATAGACGATTGAGTCATAATAAGAGGAGAAAAGAAAATCACCATTATTTAGAAAATGAATTGGCTAGGGTTTAAGCAGATGGAATCCATGGTTTTGAAGCTTTGCATCTTGAATTTTGAATTGTGGTGGAGGAGAGCAATAATGGAGAGACGTATAGGAGATGATCCATGGTTTTGAAGCTTTGCGTCATGAATTTTGAATTTGAATCTGAATGGGAAGGTAAAAATTAAAGAAGTGTATCTGAAAGACAAATGTGGGAGACTGTGACAAGAAAGGAGGTCTGAAACCTTCCAATGTTGGGTTTTAAAACCCTTGCATCAAAAGCTTGTATATTATGCTTTGTGAGTTGTCATTAAGAGATTTTTTAAATTTAGGCTTTAAAGAGCAGTACTATGTGCTTAAAGGGTTGTATTTAAGATAATGACCTAAATGCTTATATATGTAGTATAGATATATATAAAAGTTATATAATATAACTTAAAATAATAATAATATACAATTGATATATATACATAATAGTTATATAATATAACTTAAAATAATGATAATATACAATGAATATAATATATATATATATATATAAGTATATATATATATATATATATATAGGGTCAAGATCAAATGATAACCATCCATTTTGTGTTAACTTTGTTCACCTATCTCAACCAATCAAATTCTTTCATTAATGTAGGTTGATGTATTGTCCAATTTTTACTTCCAAGGATAGTTTAGTCATTTGGTTACATGTGTAACCCCCAAACCATTAATGGGGGGTTACAAAAAAGCATATCCCAATAAATAATCATTTACTTAATTGATGTATTTCTTTTTAATCATTCGATTCACATATTCATTATTGTAGGGAAAAATCATATCTCCAAAAATCATCATGCATTTAATTAAATATCTTTGTTTTTAGTATTTATATTCCATGTTCACTTTTGTATGAGTTTTAAATCGAATAAGAAAAACGGTAGTAATGGTATTCGGCGTCGATCAAGCTAATATGGATAAACGGAAAGGAAAAGAAATCGACAACAACACAGAGACTACAATGGTTTATGAAGACAATCCGGTTTCAAGGTCGGGAAGCCATGAAATCAACCAAACCGAATGTCTTGGTAATAGTTTTTTTTATTTTTTTACGATGTCGCGTGTATTTTAAGGTTCATCTCATACTATTTATTTGATATTCTATCACCATTGTGCATGTTCATGTTCATCATTCGTTCATACACATCATTCGTTCATTTGGTGATATCAACATACATGTTTTTTATACATGTCCTTTGTTCATTCATTTTTCCATGTACATGTACATAAACATAATGTTCCTGTTAATGTTCATATATGTACATATACATATGGTTTATAAGGACAATCCGATTTCGAGGTCGGGGAAGTCATGAAATCAATCAAACCGAACGTCTTGGTGATAAATTTTTATTTTTTTATATTCATATTGATCGAAAGCATGTCGTTGTCGATGTGTTGTGTTTTTTTATTGTTCATCTCATAATATTTCTATGATGTTATATCACCATGGTGCATTTTCATCTCATGTATAAAAAACGTTAACTACGAGGGGTCAACTAATTATAAAATTCATTTATGTTCATATATTGTTCACGCAAAGGAAAAGAAATCGACAACAACGCGGGGATTACAATCGTTTATGAAGACAATCCGGTTTCAATGTCGGGAAGTCATGAAATCAACCAAAACGAATGTCTTGGTAATAGTTTTTTTATTTTTTTAGATTCATATTGATCGAATTAATGTTCATTAAGATGTCGTGTGTTTTTTAAGGTTCATCTCATACTATTTATTTAATATTCTATCACCATTGTGCATTTTCAACTAACGTATAAAAATCATTGACTACATGTTTATTTAGTTCATACATATAGGAAGTCATTAAATCAACCAAACCGAATGTCTTGGTAATAGTTTTTTTATTTTTAATTCATATTCATATTGATCGAAACAATGTTAATTACGATGTCGTGTATTTTTTAATGTTAATCTCATACTATTTATTTGATATTCTATCACCATCGTGAAGTTTCAACTAATGTGTAAAAAATCGTTAACTACGGGTTTATATACGTCATAGATATACATACGTTCATGTTCATGTTCATCGTTTGTTCATGTTCATCAATCGTTCATGTCAACATACATGTTTTCTACACATGGCTATTGTTCATTCATTTGTCCGTGTACAAGTATGTACATATGCATACGGTCCCTGTTAATGTTCATATATGTACTTATACATATGGTTTATGAAGACAATCCGATTTCGAGGGCGGGAAGTAATGAAATCAATCAAACCGAACGTCTTGGTAATAGATTTTTTTTTTTTTTACATTCATATTGATCTAAAGCATGTCGTTGTCGATGAGTTGTTTTTTTATTGCTCATCTCATAATATTTATATGATATTATATCACCATGGTGCATCTTCATCTCATGTATAAAAAACGTTAACTACGAGGAGTCAACTAATTATAATATTCATTTATGTTCATATCTTGTTCACGCAAAGGAAAAGAAATCGACAACAACGAGGAGATTACAATGATTTACGAAGACAATCCGATTTCGAGGTCGGGAAGTCATGAAATCAACCAAACCGAATGTGTTGGTAATACTTTTTTTTTAGATTCATATTGATCGAAATAATGTTCATTACGATGTCGTGTGTTTTTTAAGTTTCATCTCATTCTATTTTATTTTATATTCTATCAACATGGTGCATTTTCAACTAACGTGTAAACCTCGTTAACTACGTGTTTATATACGTCATACATATACATTCGATCATGTTCATGTTCTTCATTCGTTCATGACCATCATTCGTTCATTACGTTATGTCAACATATCTGTTTCTTATACATGTTTCTTGTTCATTTGGTATATGTACATATATGACCATCATGCTATTATATGTACATATACATATGATTCATGTTCATGTTTACCATTCGTTCATGGTCCTTTTTTTTAGATTTTACATTAAAAATTTTAATTTCTGTTTTTTCATGGCGTGTTCTAGATGTTTGCAATTGTTCATATTATTTGTTGGCCAATAGCATCTCTTAGCATGTCTATACACGTCATACAATAACATCATTCCAATTTTTTCCATGAAATTAGTGTATGTACATGTTAACCTGCTATTTTACGATAATCATCATCAACGTCCAATTGTTCACATATGTGTGTTCGTGTGGTTAGTTCGTTCATTTGTTGGTGTGTTCCCATGTTCATATTTCGTTCATTGAAACAAAGGTGCACACAGTTCAGTGATGCTACACGATATGGTTGTATCAACAGGTGTTCCTATTCTTGCAATATCAGAACATGAACCGGAGTACGCCGTCGAGGAGTGTTCTCAAGGAAATCAGTTTTTTATACCCAAGGTTGATGAAAAGCTTAAACCAAAGATCAACTCACACTTCCTAACTATAAATGAAGCGGAGAAGATGTATAGGGCATACGCGGACAATGCTGGATTTGATGTTCGGCTGCACGCCAAAAAAACAAACAAGAATGGAGACATACAAACAAGATGGTTTGTATGTAATAAGGAGGGAACACCAAACAAACAATTTTTTGATTCCATGGATATGCAGTCTGGTGAAAGGAGATATCGTAACACGAACCTTAAACGTTGTGGATGTTTAGCATGCATAAAAGTCCATTTGAAAAAGGATAAATCTGGTTACGAGATATATGAGTTTGTCGAGGCACATAATCATGCGCTATTCAACACTAACGATCGACGTTTCTCAAGGAAAAATAGACAAATGAAGTATACGGATTACAAAAATGTCCTGAATAGCTCGAGCTACAAAGTTGGTGCGATTAGGGCTCACCGTATACAAACTGCATTAAATGGTGGGTTTGAGCACAATCGATGTTCTGAGATCGACTTTAAGAATTTCAAGAGAGATGCAGTTGCGTGTGTTGGGAAAAAGGATGCAAAGATGTTGATCAATAAACTATCCAATAGGTGAGATATTGTTCCCGGTTATTTTTTCGAGTACAAGTGCAATGATCAGGAGTTGGATGCCATTTTCTGGGCAGATGAGGTCGCTAGAGTTAACTACAAAGAATTTGGGGATGTAATTTCGTTTGACGGGACATTTCGCACCAACAAGTAAGATTTCTCAAGTTGAATATGTTTCTTTTATGTATGGTACTCGTTAGTTTTTTCTAATATTTTATTTTACCTAATAGGCATGCGATGATTTTTGTTCCCTTTTTGGCGGTTGACAATCACAAAGCTTCGGTTGTTGTTGGATCGGCGTTAATAAGTGGTGAGACTATTGAAAACTTTACATGGGTTCTAAGAGCTTTCCTAAAATGCCATGAGAAGCAACCAGTTTTTGTGATTACGGATCAGTGTTCGGTGATGAAGCAAGCAGTCCCGTTGGTGTTTACGGAAGCTAAGCACCGACTATGTATGTGACACATCATGAAGAAAGTGCCTTCTAAGGTAATTACACTTTAATAAACAAATCCATTTCATAAGTAAACGTCATTGTTCATAGATTCATATTGTGTTTTATACGTTCGCAGATCAGTGTCGCCTTAAATCAAGATCCTATATTCAATAAGGTTATTAACAAGCTCGTGTGGAACATACATATTGGCCCATCGGAATTTGAGACCAAGTGGCAAGAGATGATTGAGCAATACAATTTAGGTCGTGATCCGTGGTTCACAGAAATGTATGAAATACGCGCATCATGGATTCCGGCGTTTTATAAGGACACACCGATGTCTGGTCTTATGAAAACGACATCAAGATCCGAGAGTTCGAATTCGTATATTAACATATACGAATCATACTGGTTTGATTTGGTTCAGTTCCTCAATAATTATGACGTTGCTATAGAGAAACAAAGGTACAAGCAAGCTGTGCATGAGACAACAACGAGGACAACGTATCCAAAGTTGTGTACTCCATTGCGCTTAGAAAGTCAAGCATCAAGGGTATACAGTCGAAATGTGTTCTTTGACATCCAAAAGGAAATAAAAAAGGCTGTATGGTCTTGTCGTATAGAGACTGGCGAATGCCGGGGTGATCTCAAAATGTTCATTATAAGCCAAAAGAAAAAGAAATCGTCTGTCAACACCACGTATTTGGTACAATAGTCCTTTACATGGAATTTAATGTCTTCTAAATTCGTTGGTTTATATAAATTGTTGTTTATTCGGAACCTAACGTAATTGTTTTAGGTCTCCCGAAACTACACAGCCAACACGGTCGAATGCGAGTGCAATCTATTCACGCGTAACGGTTATATGTGTCGTCATGCATTTAAGGTTCTAATAAACGATGAAGTTGAAAGTATTCCGAACCAATATGTTTTACGTCGATGGAAACAAAATTTGGTTCCTGTCCAGATACAATCCGCTAAGATTCGATACGGTGAGGTGGATGCGAAGAAGGATAAGTCAATAATTGATGTATACTCCAAAGTTGACAACATTATAAGCATCGCCCGGAATGATAAATCGATACTGACTAGATTTGAGCAGAATCTCGACAATTTCACGGCCGATATCGAGAAAGAAGTACCTTATGAAGACCCATCCCAACAAAAGTTGGACGCGATCAGAGATCACCTTGGTGTTTCCATACCCGATGATGTGGACATCCTACAACCATCTGGAATAAGGAACAAGGGTTGTGGTACTGGTAAGAGGTTGGTAAGCGTGTCTGAGAAAATACAGACTGCAAGCAAGAAAGCCCGTCGAAAATGCGCGACATGTGGCAAACGTACCGGGCATGACTCACGCAATTGCCCCGAATTGATAGGTTAATCAGTTGTCGAATTATATGAAAATATAATCGTTTTGGGGATGTTTCCTTGTTGTCATTCTTACAGTTCGTAATGCTCCGATTTCGGTTTATGTTAACTTATAATTGACATACATCGTCTACTTTTCATTTTATTACAATTTATAGATGTATTAGGCACTAGTTGTTATTTCCAATACGTTGTAATAAAAACCGCCGTAAGTGCGGTGTTCATAATTACCGACAATATCCTATTTGGTAAGTGTTTTAGTGAACAATAGTGAACTTCATCCAATATTGTCATGTTTTTGTATTGTTGGATATGATTCATATGTTGATGTTTCTTGTATCCGGATGGTCTTCATAATAAACTTGTTGTCCTTTTGGTTTTAATTCTTTTGGTTGGTTGCAGAAATAAATGCCGAAGAAGATAGTGGTTGATATTAACTAGATTGCGGTTAACATTATCTAAGTTGTTATATCAGTCAATGGCATATATATTTTGTATATTAGTTGTATGTTGTTCGTTTGTATTATTTATTCTGTTATGTGTATTTGAAGTTATGATTTATTGTTCAATTAATCGTTGATGGCTAACCATGTTTAGTAACATCTTTGTTGCTGATTTACTTGGATTAGATCAAACAAGTTATTCCAATTGTCCAGAAAATGTACTAAACTTATGTGAGAATACCAATTGCACTGTTTATACAAAAAAACAGGCTAGTAATAACAACTACCTTACACAGCAAGAAAAACCATGCCACTAAGATGTGTGTGTGTGTGTGTGTGAGATTAGATGAAATGATATGCACCTTTTCGTTGTACACACTGTAAACAGTTTCCAATTAATGTTTATTCATGTTCATCATTTGTTTTTGTTCATGCCCAACAATCATTCAACTGATAATTTGTACACTACATACAGATTAATAAATGTCATACTACAATTTATAATGTGAAACAGTTACAGGCGATGTGCATTGTCACGGTAACGCAATATAGATTTGTTTATACCAACCTGGTTCAAATTTAAACATCAAAAAACCTTTGATTGATCAAATACGGAAAATGTATGCACAAACATGACGTACGTTTATGTCTGAAAACGTTACGCGACCACAAATATCCAAAAAACAAGTGGTCCAAAAAAACGTAAATGTGTAACCACACAATAAGCAAACATCTATTTCCTACCCCGACTCATCTGTCGTGCACCACGATTTTTCCTAGCATTATACGATGTCTCCATCGCAATGAACCTTTCTACATCATATACGATAGAGGTCTTATGGATGTTCACATCGTTTAGTAGCATCTTCGAACAGTATTTGGTTCTGAGATCCTTCAGCTGTCTCTTTTGTTTTGTACTCTCCTTGTACAACCCACAGTCCCATTTAACTACGTCTCCTCCAAAGAATGTCTCCATGTGACGCATTAACATAACACCGGCGTCAACTGTATTCTCGCGTAATTGCCACCTCGTCTTTACATGGTCCTGATCCATTTCAGCGTATATTTTCCACGCCCCATGTTCCTCTTTTAATAGGTGCATAATCATCATATCTTGCTGCATACATGACAAAGAATGACAAAGTAAATACATGTTGATAATGATCATAACAAAAACAAAATTTAAAGTTGATGTACCAAGCCTACAGTGCTGGAGCCATATATATCATCGACCTTTCCATCACGAGTCTGGCTGTCTATTATGGCTATTGATGGGTGCTTGAGATCGAATACTAYAACGTAATAGAACGATGGTTCTACTATCGGGAAGAATACCTACATTTTTGAAGAGACGTGTCTGGTTGATACCATTTGAATTAATGCTTAAATATCATACGTATAGTTTCGATCGAATGAAAAAACACTTACAAGATCAACGTTACGCATACTGATCAAATCTTTGTCATTGTTCATGCAACATGTAATGTTCTTTCGGAATCTATCATATCTCTGGTTAGCATTCAAATCTTCATCCCTAATAATAGCATCCATCTGCAAAAAAAAAAAAAAAAAAAAAAAAAAAAAAAACGAATACGGTTAATTATAGACTACAATTTATTTATATGACGGTTACATCGACATTCATTAATATACTGTTACCGAAACGTCCGTTGGTACAAAATAGCGCCTAAGAGACTCATTGCTCCTCATCCTCTCCTCTCTGTTAAGCACCATTGACCACACATCGATAATTTCTGAGCCAACCACGCTTTGAGATACAAGGGATTGCATTGATTGACGTGTTATAGTTTTCCCTTTTGTCGTCATGAAAACCGGCTCACTACATTTGTAAATCGTTAGGTAGCACCATTCCAAATGACAATAATACATATTTGACTTAGATATTACTTAAATAGTAGACAATGTAACTTACAAAATCCCGCCTACGCCACGTAATATCCAATCTTGCAACTTCCTTTCATCACTACTCACCTCGAACGTTACCGCACGTGTAACGTATGGTGATCGTAGTTTAAAACTTAGTTTCGGATCTCTTTTTGTAATTTCAGATCTCACATTTTCTTGTCCAGCTGTTGCTTTCGAACTATCAATACAAGCAATGACCGCTTCCTTTGATGGACTTATTCCCAAATCGAAAGCTGGCGCCTCGATTTCTGCATACGAATCAATGTCTCGTACGTTGATACACGAATGATAGTATAAAATAAAGAAACTATATGGGCATATATAGTCGTATATCTAAGTCTGTACGCGCATGCAAATGGTGTTTAGAAAATGCTTGTCATTTGTTTGATATATCACTATGATGTTCTTATACGACATGGTGATGAATTTTGTGTGAAACCGTTTGGTACATATGTGCACCTTTTCTTTGTTGTGTGAACCAGTATGATTCGCTATGAACACGATATGCACGTGAAGTAGCTACTGGGTTTTTTTTTTTTTTTTTAACTATGTTTGCAATTTGTTAATTTGTGTTCATACATGGCCAACATATGAACCAACGTGATCATGATGTTCTTACACGACCTATTAATGAACAATGCGTGAAACACTTTGTTATATACATCATAAACATGGGAACGAGGTGACGTTACTAACATATGAAAAACATGCATATTGATTACCTGTCTGTGCACGTCTACGTAGTTTACTTGTACGAGGCTCACATTCATCAATGCCTCTGCCCCGAACCCTACCAACACTCTCCAATGGTGCTTCTAACGATGTCATATTCACCCTTTCAAACTGCTTTGGGTCTGTGTTACATCCTACTCCTTTTGTTGTGATAGCAGCTCTCTCATTTGACGCCTGGTCAACCTCTGCAATCACGGTCGGGCTTGTCCAGAACTGTGATAGAGGTGATAACATTGCCGGGTCGGATGTGGTCGTCATCTTTGTAGGTGTTACATGAACAGTTGGCAAATCTTTTTCTCTAGGTTGACCTTCATCGTTTAGGCACTCCCACATGCTGTCTTTAAACATTCTCGCCAATTCCTGTTTGAATTGGTCGAAACATCTTTCACCGGGAAAACGGTCTATGTATGCTTGCAACATTGTGTCTGCTTCCCTCCTTGCAGAAAACAAATCTGCGATTCGCTCACCCATCATAATTACGCATTCCTGCAAAACCATCCACAATCTGTAAATGCAGAAAAAAAAACACGTAACAGTGTTGTATGTGCAAGCTGCATATATAATTAAGTCAAGGTTGTGTGTTTGACGATAACAATCAGACACATCTGTATATTAAGCCATCAACGGGTTGATCAACATTCACATTCAATTGCATGAATCTCAACTTGTGAGTTTTTACACAGCATGTGAACACGCATTTACACAGCTGGTGAACACATATTGGCTCATATTTATGACGGTTTACACACTTACACAGATTGTGAAAATAGGTCAAACATTATGAACACATAATGATGATGTTTCAAACATTTATACCCATACTTTCACTCCAGAAAAATCAACATTACCAACTGTTAAGTAATGAAACAAATTACCATCTAGTAATTTCGGCCCATATAATCACATTTAGTACAAAACTTAACCACATGAACAACATGAACACAATAGGAACATAATTTAACAGTTGTGCATTTTTTGTACTATATGTGCATTTTTTATAGTCCACATATACACAACCATATACGTCCCACCGAATAAACGGAACAGTTATTAACTTGTGTTCATACATTGGCCATAAACACCATCATAAAATAAGGTATTATGCACAATCGGAAGGCAGAATAACATGCAAAAAAAAATTTGATTGAATATGTACATAATAGCAAGAACATTGAATGAGATAATTGAAGTAACCTCTTTAGTAACATTCTGATTTCCTGCTTCTTTGGCTTTGCTAGACTCAGGTCTATCATCTGATGTGTGATGATCTACAATTGTTTACTCGTATGCTCCTCGCTCAATGGGTTTAGTACATGTCAATTTTGTGTATCCAACCCCCCCTGCTAAGCTCCACGTCTTGTCTTCTCCTCAGTAAATCCAATGTCCAAGTTCTCAATGGATATCTTTGCTGTTGGTTCTGAATGCCGTCACATGTTGTTGATTGAACATATAACATCTGTAGAAAGTAAACATAGCAGTTGATTAAATAATAACAAACAACTGTTGATTTATATATTGTCACGAAACAACGTTCTTACGGTTAAACAGGTTAGGGGTCCTGCATAAAATGACAAAAAACTGTCTCTTTTCCAACACATCTTGCTCGTGCCTATGCAATCATATACATATTTGCACCAGTCAATTCTTGGGATCATGTCTAAGCTATGAATGCGTTTGAGGAACCCCAGATTGCAAACACCGACCCTGCTGCATTCTGCAAGCGTATTCAACATGATGACCAGGAAACGCATCTTGAACATCACACCCGCGTCATCGGATTGCTGAATAACATTCATCACGTCATTTGGACTCATTCTATCTTTACTGAATTGTTTCCGCCATGCAGATACAACTGCATCGTTGCGTTTGGATGGTCCAACCAGATTCAAGTCTAAACCTCCCGTTGGCAGCCCCAATACATCATGTATCGACTTGACTGTAACAGGTATTTGTCCATCCCGCAATTGTATTGTCATAGTCGACGTATCCAACATATCCACGACATAATGACCTAATTTAGACGGAATGCCGTCTAAAGTCATATCAAGCAACGCATCAAATCTCATCTCCTTGATTGCTGCCCTTTGGTTAGAGTTTAATGCTTTAACCGTCTCCCATAATGCTTTCGGAGATGTTCTGGTTCTAATTCCTAACGAGTATCCTTGCACATCAGTATGTTCAACTGTGTCTTCCTTTGCTTGTTCATTCCTCGGCTTTCGTGGCGCACCCATTACATCATTCGACGCCTTAACCTCAATTTGGACATTAACGTCCAACAACATTACCAGATCCGAATCTGCATTCATGAACGTAATACGTTAAACATTAACTCCACAATATCATGGACCATCCCATATTAATTGTGTGAGTTTGTTAGGCGTAAATAGTTTATTACGTTATAAATAAACAATAATTATATACATAAACAATAGACATTTTATGTTATCTGTATATATTAGGTGACGACAACAGATGAAGTTCGTAATGAATTAAAATCAACAATGGACAGTTTGGTGTTTGAAGTGAATGGCGGAAAGTCCTATGAAATATCAAAAATCTTCAATCTTTTGAAAAATTTATTTGAGGATACGTATTACCTTGCGGTAATTGTATTTCCGGCACCTTTCCAACTCGTGCGGCTTGCTTACTAGTTTGTAGAACAATTGGTTTCGTGACTTTTAAATCTACATCAATAACGATATATGAACAATTATGTAACGCATATGAACAAAAATTAACAAGCATACATGTCAATGTTTCTAGCATATTAGAAATACTAATACATATGCATCTGTATCTAAATCTATATTTGTATCTATATATATACACATACACACACACTGTGCACACACACCTGTTGATAACTCACTAACAATCTGCTGACAGTGATCATATGTATGTGTGTGAACGGGGCTAATATGATGTTTTAAGTGGGTACAAACAGTTTACTTGAACATGTTGCAGGTATGCTTTCTGAGAAATATTCCATATACATAAATACACGCTCTTATGTTAAAACAGTTTCTTGATGTCAGGATTTCATGGGTGGATCTCATGATGGCATGGTGACTCTAGAGAACAGAGTGCGGGGTCTTGAGCAAGTTGTTGAAGACATGGCACGTCATCTGTCAATAGCAGCCAATAATCGGAGAGGTGGTAATTATATGATGGGGTTTGAGGAATCTGGTAGACAATTAGGCAAGTACAATGGCTKCTCGGACTATCCGAATGCAAAATTAGGGAGGAATGATGATGGGGTCTCTTACATGGGTTCAAGTATGAGGGGTAGAGGATCTTCGTGGAGATCAGATGTGCCAGAAAGTTGGGAYTACCATGCATATGGCAGAAATTCACAAATGGGTTTGAGGAGAGCAGCTATGGATGGTAGGTCGCCTAAATCAGATAATGGAAGTGAACAGGTGAACAGGAGAGGTTGGGGGGATAAAGGGGGTGGGCCAGCTAGGTTCGGGGAGGGGCCTTCTGCAAGAAGTGTTTGGCAAGCTTCAAAGGATGAAGCCACGTTGGAAGCCATTCGGGTGGCCGGTGAAGACAACGGACCTATCCAAACTGCTCGAGTGGCTGTTCCTGAAATGACGGCCGAAACAATGGGAGATGACAGTCTTGTGCAGGATCATGACCCAGTTTGGACAGCTTGGACTAATGCAATGGATGCACTTCATGTGGGTGACATTGATACGACATTTGCTGAAGTTTTGTCTACTGGGGATGATCTTTTGCTTGTGAAGCTGATGGACAGAACAGGGCCTGTAGTTGATCAGCTCTCCAGTGAGGTAGGAACTGAAGTTCTGCATGCTGTTGCCCAATTTCTTCCAGACCCCAACTTGTTCGACATCTGCTTGTCTTGGCTTCAACAGGTATGCATACATACACATACATATAAAGTAACTAGTTGAAACTACATTAGATCTTTCTTCTACTTTGCTTTGATAAGCAGTTTATTAGTTCAATATGAGTCCCTTTGTAGCAACGAGTAGGTTCAGTGTAGACTACTAACATTTGTGTGCATACATGAACATTTAATGAACCAATTGTGAACATCATATGAAAAACCATGAACGATTGGTGAACAAACACACACACCTACTGTTTCTGTGTGCATATGTACACATACACACACACACACACACACACTGTGCACACACACCTATTGATATGAATTCCATTC